GCAGGTTGTATGGTGTGTGTGAGTTCCGGCACCTTTTTTTTTTTTTTTTTTTTTAGAAAAAAAGCACTGCTTTTGGGCCCATGCACAGCAGACAGACTTTGGAGACAATTCTTTTGCAGCATCAAGATGCAGCAACTGACAATAAAGGACCTTGACAAGACCTATTAGGTCACTCCTAGGGCCTACTCCAGCTCTCTCAGTAGTGGCAAAGGAGGTCCCAGAAATTATATAGAACAGTGGTGGCAAACCTATGCACAGGTGCCAGAGGCGGCACTCAGAGCCCTCTCTGTGGGCACACGCACTGTCGCCCCAGTCCTAAGCCTTCAGCTGGATTTTATAAATCCTTTTTGTTTTAGGCCTCCGCCACCGTGTGAAAAAAAAAAAAAGGTTCAATCAGTCAATTTTAACTTCGTGCGGAAAAAAAAGATCTTGCAAAGTTGGAATTGATTGATTGAACTTTTTAGTCCCACCCAGTCTGCCGTTACCACGGCAGCCACGCCCACCCAATAGGCCACACCCACCCGGCACTCGACAATGCATAAGTGGGTTTTGGGTTGCAGTTTGGGCACTCAGTCTCTAAAAGATTCGCCATCACTGATATAGAATGAACATGGAATTACTGTTTAGGAAAAAGGTCTATATTGATTCACAAAATAGCTTTGAAGGCCACTCCAGTCAAAACTTCATCATATGGTAGTGAACCACTGTTCAAAGTTTTACCCAGCCTTGAATCTTAGCCTGTCCATAAATGACAAAAGAAATGATGTACGTATTCTAATTGCCATTTCCATTAAGCACATTTGAGAATTTACAAGGGACTTGTAGAAAGTAGACATTTTGGGGATTACTTCATATAGAAAATTATGCCAAAATTAGTGAGAAAGAGGGCAGGCCTCAAACTTCAATTGGTTTGAAAGGATTACTTTACATATTGCAGTTTAGATCATTTTCACCTGCCCTTTATTTGATGGATATGCTGTCACCAGATTCTAATTTTAAATAACTTCAAGAAGTATAGAAGGGATTCTTGTTCATGTGTTTATTTTCATAACATAGTGATGAAACTGACATAATTTATGCATCTACAGTAGCAGCAATCTTGGATTAGAACTGGAGTTCAAAACGTTTGTTAACCGCACAGCACACTGGGTAATTTGGGGCCTATCTCCATCACTTTGCTCAATCTATCCCACAAAATGCTATCCCAACAGTGCTGTTCAAAAGGCAACTGGACTTTTTTGGCTTTTTCTTTGAAACTGTTTTACTTCTCATCCCCTTTTTCAGTTCTGGCTGAATAGTAGGGAACGGAAGGATTTATATTCTTTGAAGTGAGAGTCATTGAGACCACTTGGGGGTTTATCTGTATCCTCAGGTTCTTCTGAATCAGAGTGCAGATGGGTGTGGAACCTTCTTGGTACTGCTGGACTGTATTGCAGACAGGAGATAGCTGGTGTTGTATCCCTCTTCCTCTGTTGAGTGAGGCTGTTCAGTTTTAATATAGATGGCCTCTTTGACCTCCCTTTCAAGCTAGTGGTCCTCTCTGCCCAGAATATGGACTATTTTGTCTTCAAAAGATGACCTTTTTCTTTCAGATGCAGATGGACTGCTGAATCTTATTCTAATGGGTTTGTTCTCCTATGTGGGGCCATGTGTTGGTGAAGTAGTTGTTTTGTTTCTCCAATGCACAGATCTGCACATGTCTCACTGCATTGCACCGCATATACGTATTGCTCAGTTTATGTCTGGATGTTTGTCTCTGGGATGGACAAGCTTCTGCCTTAATGTATTCTTGGGTTTAAAGTGTGTATGTAAAGTGTATGTGTTGGTTGAAAATCCTCCTGAGCTTTTCAGATATTTTTGCAACATTTGGAATGACAACATTGCTTCGTTTGTTGTTCTCTTTGTCTGTTATGGAGGAGCTTCTGCTGGGTCTTTTCTTGGAGAGGCGAATTTGATGAAGTTAGGATAGCCATAAGTTCTTGATGTGTTTTAGTTCTTCTTCTTCTTCCCCCTCTTTACTGGTAGGCAAACTTTCAGCCTGGCGTTTTAGAGTTCTGATCACATCCATTTTGTGCACCAATGGATGGTGAGAATCAAAATGTAAACACTGATCTCTGGGTGGGGGGGGGGGTGCTGTAAACTTCAGTGTTAAGGCTTCTATCTTCTTTAATATTCACTGCACAGTACAGGAACGCCAGACTGTTTTCTTTAACATCTTCCCGTGTGAACTTAATGTATCTGGCCACAGAGTTTTACGTGGTGAAGACTTCTACTTCCCGTATTTTAATCTTGACCCAAGTATTATCCACATATGTATACCACTGAGTGGGTGAAATTCCTGTGAAGGAGTTTAGGGCTTTTGTAACACATTTGTGATCTGGACTTTATGTTGCTTCTTACAGCTTCAGTTGTTGAAATGCCAGTGAAGAATGAAGTGACATTGTCAGTAAAGAAGCGACTGCTACAGGACAGCACAGTTACAGCTGAAACAGAGACTTTAGTCCTCTGTTAAAGTAATAATAATACCCTCTAGTGTCAGCAGAAAGTCTTCTAATGCTATTACTTTATGGTGAAAACTAATACATACACTATAAGAAACTTCAATATTATTTCAACTATGTACTATCAAGAATTGATCTGTAATTTACAAGTGAATGGTAAGCTGTGATTCTTAAATGTTGCTTGTACAATAATGGCAAAACAAAACTTTCACAGTGTAGTAAAATAATACCATTCTGGACTACTCTCATTTGTAGTAGCAAACAAGCATTTCAACCTCAGACGATATCCATCCTTACCCAGTCACAAAGAACTTGCATTTTCTGTTTAGACTGCCATACAGATGCCATAACCTTGATTTGCCTGGGAATATGACACACAATTGTGTAGTTCCAGTAACTGTTATCTATAAACAGTCTGGGGACTGATGAAAAGGTTTCTGTTTTCTACAACAGATAGTGGCCTTTCATGCTCAGAAATGCTCACTCATGCATTAGGTTTCCTGATTTTAATGAGGTCATTCTTGATTGTTGGACATTTGTTTGTTTTTGAAATATAAACTAGTTGGTAATGTGCATGCCTTCCATGGTAATTACAGAAACACAGATTTAAAAAACTTAAATGGCTGTTTTTGAACAGCTGTCCTTATGACGTTGCAAATGAGAAAGAGGTTTCTGCCTATATAGAGTTCTTGGATCTGAAAAGTTAACAAAATATTGGTAAATAGCTATGGTTGTCACAAGGAAGGCTGCTGGGAAAAGGGATAAATTGTTGTGTCTACTTGAATTTACTCCCACATATTTTCAGCCCAACAGTGAAGGATGTAAATTTTTTCTTCACTGTTTATCTTTGTACAGAATTCTAAACCACTTCATTCATTAGATATCAGCAAGAGAAGATTTTAGATATATTTTATTTTATTCCTATGAACTCTAAAATGATAGCAAATAGTATAAACAATTATATTTTGTTGGGNAACATACTAGAAGAAGAAGGCAGTATCAAACAGTTGGCTATCATTTCCAAGAAAATTGCACGGCTATGACCATGTGGGTTGCCACAGTTCAGTTCAAAGGTGATTTTATTTCATTACTGTTTTTTTATCGTTGAGTCATTTGTTATTCTGAGATCCCTTCTTCAAATTTGCATTTGAATGGTCTGAACTTGTAAATGTGTCTGCTCCCTTGGGCAGGACAGAGTTTTATTCTGTTGGTACCTATCCAGTAGAAGCTGAGATCTTGGCTAGTTCACAGAACATGCTAAGTTACAGAGTGGCTTCTTTGGGTTTTAGTTTTGCTTGGAGGTAATCAGCTGCTACATAAATTAACTATGTATGAACAAACTTTGGTTTATATAGATGTGGAATTCTTTCAACAAATCCTGGTCCACAAATCCTGTGCCGAGTGAAATATATATTCATGGAAACATAGAATATACGTAGATCAGGGCTTTTCAACCAATGGTACGGGTACCACCTGTGGTACATTGGCTCCTGGCAGGTGGTACGCATCCATCCTAGAAAAGTGGTAGCGGGAGAAGCGGCCGATTATATATATATTTATTTATTTATTTATTTTTAATGATTTTTAAAACCTCGATTGTATTGTATTAACTGTTTTTAACTGGCTGTAAGCCGCCCTGAGTCCTACGGGAGAAGGGCGGGGTATAAATTTAATAAAATGAAAAATGAAAATGAAAAAAATGAAAAATGAAATGAAATGAGCTGAACCGGTGGCAGCACTGCACAAGCCTGAGCAAGAGATGGCTGGAGCTGCAGGGCTGTCAGGGCTCAGCGGAAGTGCCAGGATCAGCGCCAGGCTCCAGCTGGAGCTCGGCGCTGATCCTGGTGCTTCTGCTGAGCCCTGAAGAAGCACCAATCAACTGGAAAGCAGCACTGATCCTGGCACTTCTGCTGAGCCCAGAAGAAGCGCTGATCAGCTGGAATGTTGCAGCATCTCCAGGGTCTTGTGATTTACATTCAGATGCTTGGCAACTGATTCATATTTATGACGGTCACAGTGTCCCAGGGTTATGTGAAGTGACCAAAACCTGCTGCAACCACCCAGCAGACGGGGGGAATAAAAACCAAACACCCCCCCTGCTGCCAATCCTGAACAGAAATGCTCACAACAATGAAAACCTCAGACAGGCGGGTGGGCAGGCAGGTATTTTGCTCGGCTGTGGCTTGGGGGGCACTTTTTTCAATGCCATTGTAACTTCGAACAGTCACTAAACAAACTGTTGTAAGTCGAGGACTACCTGTACTTTATCACTTTTTTCCTTTTTTGGGGGGGGGTCATCACGTTTTTGACACCTTGCTAGGCGACTGGTGGTACTCGGATGTTGCCATATCCTAAAAGTGGTACAATGGGTGAAAAGGTTGAAAAGTCCTGACCTAGATATTATGATAAAATTATCATGAATGAGTATAACTGATATTAAGATAAGAAATGCACCACTGTCTTGATTTTTTATGATAATATTTCTGTTCTTCTTAACAGACATATTTGAAAATTGCTGTGAAGCATATAATATTGGCCTTGAAGGAGCTAAAGTGTTTTCTGGTTCCCGAAATGAACAATTTGGATATTTAGTTCAACAGATTACAAACCAAAAAGGCAAATGGTAAGCATTACTGTACTTTCTATACAATAAAGAAGAGGATGAAAGGATCAAATTTGTTGTACTGTGTAGGATTTTTTATTTCTTAAGGAAATGATAATTTGCTTTCTTATTTATTTTTCTCCTTGTTTTTCAAAAAGCTGTAGATAAAATTAGTATATATACATTTATATCTTACTATTCCTTTTTGGGGTAAGCAACCTTATGAAAATTTCGAAAAAGAATTAAGTAATCCAAAGAAATTAAGACAGAAGATTAAAAATAAGGAAAAAAGCCATTCCTTTAGTGTACAAGGCTACTCCTCAATATACATCTTCCTATTTTTATGCCTTTACAAGACATTTTTGTTTTTACAACATCCATTTAAAGATACATATATTCTTTTTTCTTTAAAATTTTCACTGCGGTTGTTAAGTTAGTAACATGGTTATTAAGTGAATCTCGGTTCCCATTGACTTTGCTTGTCAGAAGGTCACAAAACATGATCATATGACCCTGGGACATTGTAACAGTCATAAATATGAGCCAGTTGTCAAGCATATGAATTTTGATCATGTGACCATGGAGATTCTAAGTGTGAAAAATGATCATAAGTCACTTTTTTCAGTGCCATTGTAACTTCGAATGGTGACTAAATGAATGGTTGTAAGGCGAGCACTACCTGTATTTGCTGTGAGAAAATGGTAACATTGCAGCTGTAGATAGTGTGTAAGTCTATAAATGTTAAAGTATGGAATGTGATTCCTTGATGGAGTTGCTTAGTTTGATAAGTATGCCTAAGATATTTAACAAAAGGTGACATTAAGTCAAGTTTGGGAAGGGCAATGTGGCTTTATGCCAGGCACATGTGCCAATCAGATTTGTCCTTTTCAACAGGTCATATGTGAATGTAAGAAATAAAGATTAGTGTACCTTTATTGATTTACAGGAAGCATGATGGCTGATAGGTCTAAATTATGGATTTTTTGTGCAAATATAGAGTTGAAAAAGGGTTGCAGAACAGTATATGAAGCAAATAAAAGTATGCATGAGAATAAACAGAATATTTAGTGAATAATTTAACAGTAAGCAACGAATAAGATAAGGATATATGATGTACCCTTGATGCTTTCATCTATAAAAGGATTAGGAACACATGGTTAAAAAACTACAACAAGCAGATAAATTTGGTTACCTTAGTAAGTTCTTCACTAAAGATAGGAAAATGAACGGAGAAACCGGTAGGAAGGTTGCGGACAGGCTTCAATCTTTAGCAAGAAGTAAAAGAGTGTTCGAAAAATTAAATGGGGCAATGCAAAAGACCGTGTTTCTGTCCAATATTATATGTGGAAATAAGAGTTAAGTATGACAAGAAACAAAAAATAAACTGAATGAGGTGGAAATAAGAAAAATTGAAGGGTTGGATTAAAATGTGACTGACTAAATATAAAAGAAGTATGTTCATGTGGTTGGACATATTGACATATTGAGAGAACACTAAAACATTGACTGGCTTCAAAACAATTTGTTCCATTGTGAGGAATGTGGGCAGGCTGGGAAGAGAAAAGATAGCTGTGCATAAATAACTTGGGATCTCAACCCAGGTAGGGACAAATCTGGGAAAAGAGCTTCAAAGTACTTAAGTAGGAATTAATTCATTAGCAATGAGCTTAAGACATTTCCATTTCCATTTCCCAGGTTCTGTATTTGTGTCAACAAAGCTTGAAATATACTTTTCTGAAATGCATATATCTTTGGTTATGTGGGACTTGATATGCACTACTAAGCATTTACTTACTCTTGAAGAGTAGGTCATAGTCTGACTTACGTAACTCATTTTGTACTTAGATCTGTTTCCTCCCACAGTCTGTTTTACAATAGCTTAGTCACAGTATTGTGTAAAGGAGAGAATCAATTCATAAAAAAAACAAGTTGATGTATAAAGTAAGAATGTCTGAAGGCTAAATCATACGATGAATGGCTAAGAAGACTAAGTATGTTTAGCCTAATGAACAGAAAGCTCAGGGGAGACGTGATACCCATCTTCCAGTGCTTGAAAGGCTGTCACAGAGAAAAGGGGGTCAATTTATTCTCCATAATACCTGATGGCAGAAAAAGAAGCAATGGGTGGAAGTTTGACAGTGAGAATGATTAATCAATGGAATAGCTTGCCTCCCGGAGTTGTGGGTGCTCCATTGCTGGACGTTTTCAAGAAAAGATTGGACAACTATTTGTCTGGGATGATAAAAAGACTCCTACTTTGGACAGAGGGTTGGACTAAAAGACCCCAAGATCCCTTCCAGGGACCTGTGTGTGTATGTGTTGTATGTATTTCTATATCTCACATGAATAAAAGAGGGGGGAAAGATAAGCAACACACATTTAACAAGAATTAAAATGCCAAAAAATATTTTTTTAAAAAGAGTGGAAAAGAGGATGGGGGAAGAGTTATTGGGTTTCTAACTTCTCCCCAGAAATTTGGGCCGGTGAGCAAATATAAAAACATCAACCAATCTATAGAAATCTATTAAAAAGAATTGCCGTCTGGAAAATCAGTAGTCAAGGTTGTCCTTATGTTGGGGAGAGGCTGTTCCACAAGAGAGACACCATGATGGAGAAATTATGCTTTCTAGGAACAAGTTACAAATAGGGAGTAGTTCACTCTATCATTAAATATCTCTTTGGCAAATGCATGTGACAACCTCCCCCAACACTCCCTCTATAATATTGGAAATGAATTTGCTCTTAAAAATGCATTAATGATAAATGATTTTTTTAAAGGAGAAGTTTGATAGAATTTGATAATTTACTTCTAGCACATTATATGCTAATTGCAATTTACTCCAAAGCAGACTTTATAGAAATGTTCTTCTAGCAGGGGTGTCTACAGGGCGGATATCTGTATGTGTGAGACAAATAAAAAATAGGTGGAGCTTTGATCACACTAGTGACGAGTTATTTGAATGTCAGTTACAGGTATCCCTGCCCGACATGCTGCCTTTCAGACTCTTCAAATATAATTGTCATCAGTACTCAAAGTACTGATAACAATTGGTATTGGTAACAAATGATAGAGATGAAACTGGAGAGCAGCATGTAGGGAAAGGCTTCTGACAGAGCCAAAAATGTGATTTTAAAGGCTAGTATCACATTAACAAAAGAGTTATTTTCAGTTTTTCGTTTAAACTGAATCTTTAATCAATTATGTCAGCACATTTAATAAGAGTTTATCAATTTTTCAGGTTGCTTGTTTCTTCACCCTGGAGTGAAAATAGAATGGGAGATATCTATAAATGTGCTGTTCATCAACAGGGATCCAAATGTTCAAAGATGGACCTACAGAGTAAGTTGTGTTATCAGTTTATTGTGATTGGCATTCTCTGGTGGCTACTTCATAAAATAACAACTATTTGTTTTCAGCATCCACATCTTACTGTCCAGTGGGTGACCAGAGTCTGAGAAGCCCAGCTGTTGGTCATATTCTCACTGGTGCTGCACCAAACCACAGTCAGCAATAGATTGCTAGACAACTTCTGGTAAATTTGGGAATGAAATCATTGTGCATTGGTCTTGGAAAGCCTGCATTTCCTTCCTCCCCACAATCCATGCAAGTGATGGAGGACTCTTGTACGGCTTCTCCTTTAGCAAAGGAGACTGTGTCCAGAGACTGGAAAATAATAAATTAATTCTCTCTTCCCTTTTGGCCAGATAACAGTAAGTTATGGAATACAAAATATAGTTAAGATGTCATAGCTGACCTGGGAATTCTGGGAGTTAAAGTCCAGACATCTTAAAGTTGCCAGGGTTGAGAAACACTGTACTACTTTTGCTCCACAGTTCAACTCATAGTCCAAGTTTCATGTTATACTTTTTAATGTATTGCTCAGATTTACTTTCATTTATTCTTTTTAGCTGTTACAAGCATACCAAATGTTAATGAGATAAAGAAGGACATGAATCTAGGGTTAACTCTAGTAAGAAATCAAAGAACTGGAGGCTTTTTGGTAAGTATAAAGATGTGGGCACTACAAATATAAGTTCTCTCTGTCAGTGATAAATTATAGTAATTTTTACTTTTCTCTGTACAGGTATTGTGTAGATAACATTTCTAGAAGTAAATTTATTTTATAAATAGAATAAATAACTGCAAATATCAATTTGTTTGATTTTATATTTAAAGTTGTTTTATGCATATCATAAATAGTAGGGAATTGCCAACTTCACCTACAATCCCAGATTTCACCCACAAAGCCTAGAAACTACCTACAATTATCCTTCATCCAACCATAAATTTCACTCAAACAATCAATTTTTATTTTCATCATACACCAGCATATAACTAAGAATTACACTAAAATAGAAATAAAAATAAAAGTCATGTTTATAGAACAAAAGATAAAGATAAAATTAAGGTAAAATTGCAAGGTACAGATATCTGTTACAAGATACAGGTATTAAAACACAAAACAATTCTATAAAATTACAATTACATTTTACAATGAATAATCTAAATGGTATAAATAGCTACAAAATGACATAAAGAATACTAGAATTTATAAAACACCATGAGAATGTAAAGTTATCCTAACTTAAGTCTAATAATTACTGAAGCTATGCTAGGGTTTGTTGGAATTAAAGTCATTATATTCAAGCCAATTATAAAACCAAAATAGCAAAATAAAAGTGATCTGTGTATATTTAAAAGGAAAGGAAGGGGAAAGGAGGGGTATCTTGATATATAAGGACCAAAGTCCTATATTATTTTTTTGTTGCAACTTTATAAAGTTCTAAGGTATGTTACAGTTGTGATGCTTTCCTGGGTTGTTGACAAAATTATAATCACAGTACTATTATAGAGACTGGGTTGAATGTTAAAGCAGTAGCCCTCCATCATTGGATTGGAAAACAATGAACAAACCAAATGTCAGTTTTGCTTTTCATTTAACTTGCATATCACATTCAGGAATCTTTCATGATGAGATTTATGAATCTTACTTAGTACTTTTGCCTTCTACCTACAATATAATATTTCATTTGTTTTTTATATGTACCGTGTTTCCCTGAAAATAAGACCCAGTCTTATATTTTTTTTGCCTCCAAAAGAGGCAGAAGGTCTTATTTTCGGGAGATGTCTTACCTTAGGACCACCGCAGCCAACACCTGTTGCACTGCTGCTTGAGTTCTTCTGCGGCTGCTTGCAACTGCACACCACGTAGCGTATTGCTCCACTGCCACCAATCGTACTGTTGCCACCGCTCGCACTGCGAGATTTGTGCTGCTTATGTCCCTGCCGCTGCTTGCACCACAAGACTCATTGAGCAACTCACGTCACAAGGCCGATTGTGCGATCAGCGCAACGAGCCTCGCACCACGAGTGGCGGCAGCAGAAGAACTTGGGCAGTGGCGTGACAGGTGTCGGGGCGTGGAAGGCCTGGCTGCAGCGGTCCTAAGGTAAGCTGGTGCGGGCGCATCGGGCAGCTCTACCCCCACCCTAGCTTGATTTTTACACATGCACCTCGCTCCAAAACTAGGGCTTATTTTGGGGGTAGGGCTTACATTAGGTGCATGCATAAAAATCAAGCTAGGGCTTATTTTCGGGAGAGGGCTTATTTTGGTTTTTTTTTTGAAATTCCTATATGATAAAATTAGATTTATTATTAACTATTACAACATTCAGAATTAGTTCTAAGAAATCTGAAACAGAACAAGGTGACTTTTAGACCAGAAATTTTTCACATTAGGAAGCTTCTGTCTTTCTGCTATATTTAAAGAGAACTCCATTAGATAAGCTCTAAACAAGGAGGACAATGTAACAAATGCCTTTTACTTGTCCTATTATAATTCTTGTTTTCCTATCACAAATACCACAAACACTTAAAAATACCATAATGGATTGGGACTCAGTAATCTAAAATCTGATACAGGTTTTCAGTTTTTTCATATAAACGTTTAATTTCTTGTTACCTAATGAATTTAATGAGTGGATGGGGATTTGAACATGCAAATTCTTGATCAACATCCAAGATCTTAACCACTACACTATACTCTGTCATAACAAATAAGTAATTTATGTATTATACATTGTTAAATGTAATTTACAGATAGTTGTCAATTTACGATCAGTTGCTTAGCAACCATTCAAAATTATGATGGCCCCTGTCCTCAAACGTACTTTCTGAAGATCCAACTCCATGTCCACATGTGGCCATAATGTGAAGAACTGTACTGTACTTGGAATTATTTCTTTAAAATCTTATTTTAATCTAATTCAATTTTGCATATGTATTTAATTCTAATGCAAGAAGTGTGAGGAAGTAAACTTAAAAGTAGAGTTCACTTTTGCAGTTCCAGCAACATTTTTTGTGCTTACTGATAATGAGATTTGAAATTACGTTTGGAGAAACCTTTTAGAGTACATTATTTACATAGTCTTGAAAAGTGCAGTTCAGTAGGTTTAGTTTTATATATTGCAGACACACAAAATTAAGTCCCTTATGACTTCCTTGCATTGTGGATAATGTTTCCTATACTACAGAGATTATTCCAACATAGTGCAGCATTTATGGGAACTACTAAAAGCAGATGTATTGAAAAGTTATGCATACTGCAATATAGATATTTTCAGAAATTCAGCAACTTTACTGGAGTTTAGCTATCCTTGGTCTATGACAAGCATGTCAAACTCGCGATGTCACATGACGTATTGTGACTTGTCCCCCATTGCCGGCAATGGGGTGGGCGCGGTTTTGGCGTGATGCATCCGGCCCATGGGCCGGCAGTTTGACATTCCTGGTCTATGGTGTAATTCAATTTGTAGGCCTACTAGAAATGCTCAGGGTTCCCCAATTCTCCTCTGAGCCAATCACCAAGATCTGCCTGATCCAACTGTTTATTAAGCAAAAGTAGCTCACCTGTACACATAGGTGATAAATGTTGTGTGCTGTCATTAATAAATAAATAATTTTAATAATAATGTAAACTGCCTGGAGTTCTGCTTTTTTTTCTTGGAATTTGTCATTGTCTTCCTTTTTTTGTTTTTGGAGACAAAAAACTATGAACATTGCATGTTTAAACTTAAGATTCTGCACAAATAGTTCAAAGCCCCAAGCACAGTAGGTGAAGAACTACTATATTCCCCTTTGTATGCCTGATCACTTTCTTGTAATCCTTTCCACTTCAATCTCTCTGCTCTGTGAGGTGGGGGAGTGGGAGAAAATAAAGTGTCAGGCAGAGGAGAATGCAAGGGAACGAAAAAAGAGGGGAAAAACTCTCTTTAGGCAATCTCTCTAGTGTGTGATACATTTTCCATTCCCCTTGCAGAGTGGAGAAATTGGAGAAGAAGGGATTACAAGAGAATAAACTAACATACAATGGGAATACTTATCAAAGAAAATGTGCTAGTGCCAGAGCGCTGAGTGTGCTAGGCAAACAGCTGGTGTTTTTAGGACATTGTGTGAGCAGTACAAACTTATAAGAGAAATACAGTCCATTGCACCATCAGGCAAAAGACCTGTGTAGTTTGCTTGGTTTTGGCTTAGTGTGACCCTCACCTGTTAAGGCTGAACATTATGCTAGTCCCTTTGGATTGTTCAACAAAGCGTGTGTTTAAAAAGCTCTGGCACATTTGTGAAAAATATGCCATAAATCTGTCATCTGTGGGGGAAAAGTGATCAAAGCTATGTTTGCTTTACTGTCTGATGCTGTATTTTTGGTTTTGTTTTAGAATATTATTTCACTTTCTGTTTTTAAGGCTTGTGGTCCTTTGTGGGCTCAACAGTGTGGAAGCCAGTACTATGCAACAGGAATCTGTTCTGAATTTGATCCCAGTTTTCAGATCCTGAGAAGTTTTTCACCTGCAGTGCAAAGTAAGGCAATAAGTGCCAATACACTTTAATAAGAGTTGTATGAAAAATGGGACACAATAAATGCATGAAATATAGGATTGCCAGATTTGGATTGCAAAACTCCAGGTGGTTACTAGGTGGCAGAAGCATTCAGAACTTTTTGAATCTCATTGTTGCCACCTAATGATCACCAAGATTTCTGCAGCCCATATTTGGAAACTTAATATAGGGCAGTGGTGGTGAACTTATGGCACGGGTGCCAGAGGCGGCACTTGGAGCCCTCTCTGTGGGCACACGTGCTGTTGCCTCAGCCTTGCCTCCTCCCGCGACCCCCTCCTCTCCAGCAGCCCCCCTGAAGGAGACTCGCCCTCGAGTGTGGCCCACACGGAGCAGCGCAGCCAAAAACATGGCAGCCAGGCAGCGTAGACAAGACTCTGCCCTCACACCCCATCATGCAGTTGATGCTGCAGGGCGCGGGCAGAGGGTGAGGCCACCATAGTGCTGCTGGGCTGCCTGGGTGATCTGCGGCGGGCCCTGGAGGCGGTGAGTGGTCCTGTGGGCAGGCGGGGTGGGGGATGGGGGACAGAGCGGAGGTGGGCAGGGGGGGGTAGAGCAGGGGCGGGGCCAGTTTTTGGGCACTCGGTCTCTAAAAGGTTTGCCATCACTGATACAGGGTAAGCGGTGCAGCCTTTAAGTATAATGAATTTTCATGTGCCTTTTGAACTAGAAATGTTACTTTTCTAGATTTGCATGAGAGAGCTATTTAGCAATAATTATTTTTGCTATATTTTTTTTATATGTTTACCAATCATTGTGATTGTAGGCTAAATGCTGTGATTATAGAAATGTTTAATAGTATATTTGGCCCCTTGCCCATATTATTTGGGGAATTTTAAAAAGCTTTTATATTTTCAGTTTAGATGAGCAAGTATACTGGACCACTTTAAGTGGTAACTAACAAAATAATATAGAAGAAAGCAAGGCTCCATATTATGTTTTAGTATTTAATATTTACATATTGAATGATTGTAGCAAACATCCATACAAATGTAATTATCTCACTTTCTGCTTTGTCTAGATCAGCAGTAGTCAACCTTGGCTCTTTTATGACTCGTGGACTTCAACTCTCAGAATTCCTGAGCCAGCTGTGCTGGCTCAGGAATTCTGGGAGTTGAAGTCCACGAGCCATAAAAGAGCCAAGGTTGACTACCCCTGGTCTAGATATATATGCCTCCTCCTGCCCTTTTTCTTCCTAATCTTTTTCATTATCTTCTCTCTCCAGCCCGTTAGAAGATCAGTAGCTTCTGGAGGGCAATGATGGCAGCAATAGGATTGACGTAGAAGCTGTGGCTGCCTCATTGCATTTAGCACGGAGAGAGTTAAATCTCTGTACTTTTCACTTCACAATGTCCTGTAATCCTGAAAAGAATACAGGTAGTCCTCATTTAGTGACTGTCTTATTTAGTGACCATTTGCAGTTAGAATAGTGATTCTGACAAATCCTCGCATTTTGTACCTTTGCAGGTCTGTAAAGCAAAGGAAAACTGAAGGAAAACCATTAGCATAGTTGCAGTTTCACTCAGCACCTGCTTCACTCAATGACTGAGTTGCTGCTCCAATTTGTGGCCACTAAACAAGGACTACCTGTATCTTTTTTTCCTCTTAAAAATGGAGATGGTGATTTCTCCTCACTTGAATAAGGCAGCTTTCCTTTCAATATATTAAGGATAGTCTTCTTGTGCTACTGACACTACTTCGTTGTTAGGAGGAATGGAATTTAATTGCAAGTCGCAAAAATCTTTAACTCTGTGAATGTTTAACACCAAGTGACACAGGTTTCAAAGGAGAGAATTCTTATAGAAATATGATTTCTATCCTCTTCTTATCAGACTGTTCTTCAGCCATTGATGTGGTGATCATATGTGATGCGTCATATAGTATTTATCCGTGGGGAGCTGTGAAAAATTTTTTGAAAAAATTTGTTCAAGGTTTAGATATAGGCCCAACAAAAACACAGGTAAGCAAATTAAAACAATATAAATGCAAATGCAGATTTTGGTTCCTTGACAAATATTTATTTTTCTTAGCCATGAAGACATTTTTTTCTGCAATTTTAGCATGAGAAGCAGAAACAACAAAATGATAAAATATAAGAATTAAAGCTGAAGAGCTCTGGTGGCGCAGTGGTTAGAACGCAGTATTGCAGACAAACTCTGCCCACAGCCAGGAGTTCGATCCTGACAGGGTTCAATGTTGACTCAGCTTTCTATCCTTCTATGTCGGTAAAATGAGGACCCCAATTGTTGGGGGTGATACGCTGACATTTGCAAACTGCTCAGAGAGTGCTATAAAGGGCTATGGAACACTATATAAGTCTAAGTGCTATTGCTATCATCAGATTACTACTAGGTCTTTAATTTCTCCTAAGATAAATTGAGGGGGCCTCCATAATATTAGTACTAGTTTTTCCTTTCCTTATTTTTATGTATTTTTGTTCCATAGCTGAGGCAAATGGGTGTTTGTTGTTTTTGATGGTATTTTAGAAAATAAGGAACAAGTGAATTAACCCATTTTTACTACTGTTGTGATGCATCATTTCATTGTTACTGGTATCGAATTGGCCTGCAAATCATTGACCTTGCCTGATGAAATGACTCTGTAGAGAAGAAATGGGCCAATATTATCATTGCTATGAAGAAATCCAATTTTTATAGAGACTTTGAATTCATTTTTTTATTAATAGAGTACCCTCCGGTTCATAGCACCCACTAAACTATACTGTGGTTGATCTGGTTTTGACTTATGATATTGTGTGAATCCAACCAATTATACCTAATTCAGGGTAGTATAATTAAATGGTAGACACCATGATGTATGGTGATAAAAAGCATTTGCAAGAAATGTCTAAGGCTTCAACTTGGTGTCCATAATGTTATCGTGTTTTCTTGGAATCAATATTCAAAAAGAATTTTAATCCAGTTTTGTATAAAACAATGTTCCTTCTTGGTTATCAAAGCAAGTATTCCCTTCTTGGACAATGTTTTGTGTATATTGGCAGCCTTTGTACTAATAGAAAACACTTTTGCTGCATGAAATGTAACACTGAACTTTGGATGGTGCAACCCACCTACAATGTCCTTTGATATCATATTCCAGATGTTGCCAGATCAGAGCAGAAAATTGATTGATACGGAAAATCTTCTAAAGCTCTTTCTACCAAAATAGTTTTTATTCTACAAGTTCAGTTTACCTGGGTTATTACTGAATTCCACAGTCCTCAGGAACTGTTCTTGGAAGCAGGAGTTGGTCTGCAGTGTATGGAAAAAAAATAAATGTTAAAGTTTTGCAGCCATAGGATACAACCATACTAAGAAAGTTTTGGTCTATGCACAAATTGAAAAATAAGCCTACAGTTTGTAGAATGAAGGGAAACAGATTAATGAAGCTTGTTTATGTTGCTTTACTTTTTATTTATTTTAACAATTATTTTAGGTAGGCTTAATTCAGTATGGCGTTCACCCAGGAGTTGTTTTCAACCTGAATACCTACACTGACAAAAAAGCTGTTGAACAAGCAATGTCAAAAACCATTCAAAATGGAGGTGCGGAAACTAATACATTCAAAGCTATTGAATATGCCAGGTAAAGCTTAAAGCAATGTCCAATTTTGGTAAATGGGTTTTTTTTAATACTAAAGGAATCTGAGTGCTGAGTGCTATAAAATACGGTGACTTGAATTTGACATGAAAAAGCCTTTTTTTAAATCAACAATGATGCGTGATTCCGATAACCTATTAGATATGGATAGGACTTTTAGTGTTTTTATTTGCTTGGATGGATTGGGATCTATGTATTTTTTTAGGTGTATTAAGCGAATCCAATAGCATACAGATCTTCTGACTTTGATTGTCTTCTGATAATCATGAAGAAGACAATCAATGGATGGTTTGCTGTTGAATTTCAACAGCCTGATCCTAGGGACTTGGGAAGATGAAAATGAAGTCCCGTGGCCCCATGCGGTTGCAGATCCCAGATTAAAATGAAGTTGGAATAATTATTTTTGTACCAAAAGGTTACTGTCCACACAACTTTATTTTGTTGCTATGGAAAACTGGTAACGAAATCATGTATAAAAAGCAAGATTCATGTCATGTGAATTGCATCTGTGGTTTATTACAGACAACATGCTTTCACAAAAGAAGCAGGTGGGAGACCAACAGCCTCAAAAGTCATGGTGGTTGTCACAGATGGTGAATCGCATGATGGCTCAAAGTTGCCAGAAGTAATAGCTAAATGCAATGCAGATAATATTACAAGGTTTGGGATAGCCGTAAGTAAAATTTTCATTCTTGTTGCTCTAGTTTCTGTTGGCCTTATGTAAATAATTTTTTAAAAAATGTTTTAAAATATTTATAGCACACTCAAATCAAAAGACTCGGGGTGAATTTTGATACATATGAAACCTCAATAGTACTAAATCAAATTAGAAAGCAATCTTCCCCCAAGACATATATCAATAAACCTTTCTAAGAATCAAGGTTCAGACAAATATAATTGTCTTTAATTATCTTCTGTCTTCTAAGACCTTGTCTAAAGATCTACTCACCTCTTGATAAAACAACAGCCAGAGCCATATCCTGTTCTTCTTTTGGTGAATGTAGCCATCCCACCCAGGATCAGGCCTGTGTCTTAATCTTTCATTTGAGAGTTCGGTTGCGTCACTTCTCTGCATAAAACTCCTTGAATAGGTTTATTGACGTATGCCTTGTGGGAAAATTGAGTAAAAACTATGTTGCTCTGATACCGTAGTAGATCAATGTTTCTCAACTTCAAGAATTTTAAGATGTGTGGGATTCTGAAAGTTGAGGTTCACACACTTAAAGTTCCTGAGGTTGAGAAACATTGCTTTAGATGGCAATAAAAAATTGTCACGCAGCATTTTGAAATCAAATGCAAAAAAAGGGACTTCAGAAAGCAAAAAGCTTCTTACAGGACACCATCTGCAACTTTTTAAATTGCTACATTGTTTCTCAGGATTGCTCTCCATAAGTGTAGCATAATCCTGAGAAAAGAGGCATTTGGTTGAATTTAAAAAGTTATCTTTACACATCTTTAGTTCTCATTACTGTGGTTTTGGTGAAGGGAGAAAATTAAATTTATTTTAAAAAAACGCTCAAAGATTTGTTTCATTGATCTCTCACTGCTAACGTAATTGGGTAAAGGAATAAAAGAGAAATAAATTTCAGATTCCTTGTATAGTGCTTCTTTCCGTTTCTTATTACATATGTTTTTCTCATACTTATATTTTTCTAGGTATTAGGATATCTAATTAGAAATTTTATGGATACTGAAAAACTTATCCAAGAAATCAAAGCAATAGCTAGCCACCCTACATCAAAATATTTTTTTAATGTGTCCTCTGAGGAAGCACTTTTAGAACAAGCAGGAACACTTGGAGAACGAATTTTCAGCTTGGAAGGTAACAAATATACTGTTTTTTAAACTGCATTTAAAAATGCAAAATATGTGATGATCAGTTTCTGGAATTTCTGTGATGAGTTGTTAAGTTATTAAAGGCAAATCCTATGTATAGGGGGAAGGATAGACAATTTACAGTAAATAGAGAACAAAAATAGGATTTACTATTAAAAAAACATTCCTAAAGATATTTATCAATATCAGAAGAATCTTCCAACTCATATTTTTTCAAAAAAGTATGACAAATTTTCTGTTGCAGGGCATATTATCATGTTTACCTGAAATAACAAGGCTTGATAATGCCTCCCCACCCAAAGAAAAATCAAATAGCTTACAAGGCCCCC